TTTTCCCACATCCCCTCCAACATTTATCATTCTCCTTTTCTGTCCTATTAGTCAATCTAATATGTACGAGGTTGTACCTCAGTATTGTTATAATTTGCATTTCCTCCAATCAATCGCGATTTAGAGCATTTTTTCACATGGCTATAGATAGCTTTGATTACTTCATCTGAAAACTGACTGTTCATATCTTTTGATCATTTATCAATTGGGATTTGATTTTTTTTCTATATATTTGAGAGAGGAGCCCTTTATCAGAGAAACTTGCTTCAAAAATTTTTTTCATAGGTATGATTGCTAACTATATTTTTTCCCTGTTTATTTTATTTTCTCTCTCCTTTCACCCTGCCTCTTCTCAAGTGTTTTCCTTATGACTATTTCCTCCCCCAATCCACTCTCCCTTCTATGAGCATCTCCGGCCTTCTCCTATCCTCTTTCCCTCCTACTTTCCTGTAAGGTAAGATTTATTTCTATACCCAATTGAGTGTGTATATTATTCCCTCTTTGAGCCAATTCCAAAGAGAGTTAGGTTCAAGCATTCCCCACCACCTCCCCCATCTTCCCTTCCACTGTAAATAGCTCTTTCTTGCTTCTTTTATGTGAGATAATTTACCTCATTCTACCTCTGCCTTTCCCTTTCTCCCAGTACATTCCTGTTTTTCACCCCTTAATTTTATTTTTAAAGATATCATCCATCATATTCAATTTATACCTGTGCCCTCTGTCTATATATACTCCTTCTAACTGCCCTAACAATGAGAAAGTTCTTATAAGTTACAAGTATCATCTTCCCATGTGAGAATGTAAACAGTTTAAATGTATTAAGTCCCTTATGATTTCCATTTCCTGTTTACCTTTTTATGCTTCTCTTGAGTCTTGTATTTGGAAGTCAGATTTTCTATTCAGTTCTAGTCTTTTCATCAGGAATGCTTGAAAGTTCTCTATTTCACTGAATGTTTATTTTTCCCCCTGAAGGATTATACTCAGTTTTGCCGAGTAGGTGATTCTTGGTTGTAATCCTAGCTCCTTTGCCCTCCAGAATGTCATATTTCAAGCCTTCTGGTCCATTAATGTAGAAGCTACTAAATCTTGTATTATCATTACTATGGCTCCATGATACTTGAATTGTTTCTTTCTGGCTGGTTGCAATATTTTCTCCTTGACCTGGGAGTTCTGGAATTTGGCTACAATATTCCTGGGAGTTTTCATTTTGGAATCTCTTTCAGGAGGTGATCAGTGGATTCTTTCAATTTCTATTTTATCCTCTGGTTTTAGACTATCAGGGCAATTTTCCTTGATAATTTCTTGAAAAGTGATGTGTAGGCTCTTTTTTTGATCATGGATTTCAAGAAGTCCAACAATTTTTAAATTATCTCTCCCAGATCTTTTTTCTAAATCAGTTGTTTTTCTAATAAGATGTTTCACATTGTCTTCTATTTTTTCATTCTTTTGGTTTTGCTTTATTGTTTCTTGATGTCTCAGTCATTAGTTTCCATTTGCTCAATTCTAATTTTTAAGGAATTATTTTCTTCAGTGAGGTTTTGTACCTCTTTTTCCATTTGGCCAATTCTGCTTAAGAAATTCTCCTCACTGGATTTTTGTACCTCTTTTACAATTTGGCCTATTCTGTTTTTTTAAGGTGTTATTTTCTTTAGTATTTTTTGGTGCCTCCTTTACCAAACTTTTGACTCTTTTTTCATTATTTTTTTACATCACTCTCATTTCTCTTCCCAATTTTTCCTCTACTTCTCTTACTTGCTTCTCAAAATCCTTTTTGAGCTCTTCCATGGTCTGAGACCAATTCATATTTTTCTTGGAGAATTTTTTTCTATTGTTTGCTCATTTTCTCAGCCTATTTCTTGACTTTGGACTCTTTGCTAAAGTGAGTACACTGTCCCAAGCTTCAGAAGTTCTGTGCAGCTGTTTTCAGAGATACTTCTAGGGACCTGTAAGTTTTCAGTTTTTCCAAAGTGGTATGCTCTAAAGAGAGGTGTGTTTACTATTCTTCTGGTCTGTGCTCTGGTTTGTGACAACCACAAGCACTCTTTTCTGCCCTGGAGTTGTGAGGAGTCCCTGCCGCATTGCTGCCACAAGCTCTGATGTGCCAGTGCTCCTCCTCACACTGGGACTACCACCCATTACTGTCACTCAGATCTGAGTATGGGCAAAGCAACAATCCTGCCAGCAGAGACCCCTGTGATCTCCTTCTGACCAGTTGTTCAGTCCCCTTACCATTTGTGAGCTGGGAGCTCTGGAAGCAACCACTGCAGCTGATGATTCATTCATTCCCAACTTCTTCTCCTGGTTTGCTGGGGCCTGGTCTGTGCTGGCAAGCCCTGCACCGGATTGTGCTCCATTCTCACCCTGGCTCGACAGACTTTCCTGCCAAACGTTTAAGTTGTCTTGGGCTGGAAAATTGTTTCATCCTGCCCTTTTGTGGGTTCTGCTGTTTCAGGAATTGTTTTATGGCATTATTTAAAGGTGTTCAGAGTGGTTTGGGGCAGAGCTCAGGTAAGTGCCTGCCTTCTTGATTCCCTTCTCTCTTATCTATTTTGTGTGCATCCCCAACTTAGCTACAGTTAGAAATGCAGAGAGAGACTTTCTTTCAGAAGGTTTTGAAAGTTCCACAGAAAAATTTTTACTCTTTACATATTTTTTCCATTGTTTGATTAGACTACAGGAAAAATCAGTTTGGATTTACCAAGACACAAAACATAGACAATGCTGAACATTACCCAAATACAAACACTTTCACAGAAACAGACAAGACAAACACATAGAAGCACTTGCTAAAGAAATCTTTTCCAATTAATCCAGAAAAACCAATTTCTAATCCAGAACCAGACCAAAACACCTGATTGACTGGGGGGGGCAGGGTGTTCCCATTTGTGGAACAGGGAGGCATGGCAAATCCTCATCCACTGTAGTACAAATAATCACCAGGTTCTCAGTATCAACCATAAGAACTATTCTGAGTGGTATTCCCAAGTTGTGATCCCTGGAATTCCACAAGGCAGCCCATCTGAGATTCCCATTGCCTGTCACCATTTACTGTGGGTAGAATTGTCAGTGCCACCACAAACCAGAATCCCAAAACCAGAACCCAAACCCAATATCATAAATTTAGGAACAAATGAAGGTTTATTGAGTTCGCCAGCAAGGAAGCCCCACCTGCACAGTGGAGAAAGGAGTGGAGACTCCCCAAAGGAGCAAAAGGACAAAACTTCTATGTTTCAGTTTAGGCTGAAGGTAAATGGGATATGCAGTACCTCAGGATTGGACAAGGCTGCTCCTGACAGCCTTAGGTAATTGGGGTTAAGTGACTTGCCCAGAGTCACACAGCTAGTGAGTGTTATGTGTCTGAGGCTGGATTAAAATGAGAATCTTAATAGGGGACTGGTATCCTGTGATTAGACAACAGCCTGCTGCTGGCGGCTAGTAACCAGAAAGACTCTTCAGATTAGCAATCTCTTGTCATCCCACCCTAATAGATAGGATAAGTAAATTGTCCTAGCTGTTTCAGCAGAAAGGAAAGTGGTTGAGGTGGGGGTGAGGGGTTTGCATACTAATAGGGTCAGGACAAGATAGAGGAACTACAAAGTTTCTTTGGCTTTCTCAGCGACCCACAGCATCAAATGAAATAATATCTGTAAAGAACTTAACAGAGTGCCTGGCACATGGTAGGCACTATGTAAATGCTTATTCCACTACCACCACCATCCCTCAGTTTTCCAATTCCATAAAGGGACGCATGACTTCAGGCGAAAGTGTAGCCTCCTGTAGTAGGAAGGGAAAGCTGCTCTAAGACCAGCTTGGGCTCCATGCTGTGCTGCCAATTAGCCATCTTTTGTCACTGCCATGACTCCAACCCTGAAGCTGGGACCTCAGTTTCCTTACTTGTCAAATGGGGAAACAGAAGGGAACCACTGCATACTTCACAGAGTTTGATGACCCTTGTCTGAACTAAGTTGCTTGGGGCATCCCAGCCCATGTTATTTAGTATCTGTTTTATTTTCTTTTCTACATGGTTCTAGAAGTTGGGCTCCTTGGCAGTGGGAGTTAGATTTGTTATTATCTCCAGTACCCCAAATGCACTTAATAAATGTATTTGAACTCCCACATTTGTTGGCTGTGTGATGCTGGGCAAAATGCTGGCCTCCTGCGATCCTCAGTTTCCCAATATATAAAATGAGACTTTTTTTTTTTTGGTGAGGCAATTGGGGTTAAGTGACTTGCCCAGAGTCACACAGCTAGTGAGTGTTACATGTCTAAGGCTGGATTAAAATGAGAATCTCAATACTTGCAAGTACCTACTTCACAAGATTAAAGAACACTGTAAATCTTTATCACAGTCAAAAAAAAAATGGGCAGAGGAAGGAAGAGGAAACTATCAAACACAGAAAGCAGACCATTAAGTTGCTTCTGTAATATTGAAATAGCATTAGTGACTCCATTTTGCCTTTATCTACCATTTTGCGAAATTAAGTATCAAAGTCACCTGAATTTGGAGAGGTCACAAGATTACTCCCAAGTGTTCACAAAACAACCCCTTTTTCATTCTCTCCTCAGTGTCTCTTGAGTGTTTCCCAATCCCCTCAACCTCTCCTCATTATCTCCAGCTCCCCTCCTCCAGTAAGAAAAGTGGATTAATCCTTGCATTCTGTTTTTCATTCCCTCCAAATATGTTAAGCAGGTGAAGACCAAAGTTGAGTTCTTGACTACCAAAAGCATTGAACCTGGTTTGTTTTGCAACCACTTGCACTGCTAAATAAATTGTTTGTCTGGATGCTACTCTGTTTCTTTATTTTATTTTATTTGTTTTTGGTTAGGCAATGAGGTTAAGTGACTTGCCCAGGGTCACACTGCTAGTAAGTGTTAAATGTCTCAGGCCAAATTTGAACTCCGGTCCTCCTGAATCCAGGGCTGGTGCTCTATCCACTGTGCCACCTCGCTGCCCCTTGTTTTTTTATTTTAATAATTAACACTTCCCTCTGAGGAACACACATTGTTAAATGCCAGTAAGATTTATTTGAGGCAACAGAGCTTAGTACAAAAAACAAATTATCTACAACATTGGTTGGTGGAGTAGGCAGAGAAACAAAAATGTTATGTCCCCCATTTTCTCCCCACCAAGGACCAGGGAGCTTCCCTCCTACTACTATGGAAGGGTTATTACTAGCTTACTAGCCTCCATACCACCTGGTTCAATGATCATTTCTACAAAGAGTAGGGAAAGGTTCATGGAAAGACAAGTGTGGGTTACTGGTCTCAGTTCAGACACATACGGGTTATTCAGGATTAGGGTCTAGAGAGTCTACTTTCTGTTTAAATCCTGACCCTGGGGATACTAGGGGAAGGTCCATTTCCTCTATCACCTTTTAATGAACCAAGACTGGGGTGAGCCATGGGCAGCTCTGGCCAGCTGGGTTCTTTAAGCTGAGAGAATGATCAGGAAATATTACAACCCCACCTGCCAAGAGACAGGTTTTAAAGACAAATCTAGCTTTCTGAGAAAGAATCTCAGAAACTGGGTTAAAATTCTATCAACCCCTGTCTGCACCATGGCTGGGGTCTCTAGTTGGTTTCCATCTTCTCTGGCGTTTTCTCTGACTCACTAGAGGTCTGCCCAGATGGAAAAAAAGGTCCCACAAGCCACGTAAGGGGTGTGTTGTGAGTGACGTATTCAATCATCTCATCCAGGGATTCTCGGGCCTTGTTGACCCGCTCTCTACTCTGGGTCAGGACGCTACTGGAGAGGTCCTGGAAGGACTGGGCTCCTGAAAAGGTGGCCCGAAGCTCTTCAATCTGGGTATGAGCCTGCTGTACTTTGTCCTGGATGTTGCTAGGAAGGCCTTGGATACTGGATACAAGCTGTAAGCAGTTACTCTGAAGCTGCTGGGTGACATCCCGGAACATGGTGAGGGTACGAGACTCAACCTGCTGAAGGAGAGGGAAGGTAGGGAAAGGTTAGCCCATCAACATTGCTACCCAAAAACTTGAAGGACTGATTTAAAATGGACGTCAGCAAGCTAAGCATGGCTCCCAAGACATCTTGCCCCAGCTTCATAGAGGGGATGCAGGGGTGAGGAACCTGCAGCCTCGAGGCCACATGTGGCCCTTTAGGTCCTCAAGTGTGGCCCTTTGACTGAATCCAAACTTCATGGAAAAACACCACGTATAATACCGGATGTAAACATGTCATGGTTTTGCTGCATTTTCTTTTTTGTCTTTATTAAAAGGTAGAAGTTCTTAACTGTCGTAGTGTTCTGGATTCTTTTGGCACCCTGGGAAAGCCTAACGAACCCTTTCTCAGTCTCATGTTTGAAAAATACAGATGTTTACAAACAAAATCAATTATATTAAAATCATAAATCAGAATGTTTTAAAAAATGCTGATGATAGACCCCAGGTTAAGTATTTCCGGGGCAAAGGAAAAAACAGGCAAGCAGAGGAATCTGACCTTTCTTCAGTAATCAACAAGGGAGACACTGATGACAGAGCAGTGGTATGAAGGATGGAATTGAGGGCATAAGAGAGTGGAAGCAGGAAGATGTGTCCTAGCAGACACTTACAAGAGATGGTGGGGGAGGAATACAATAGGCAGAGGGGAAGGAAGTAAGAGGGCAAAGAACAATAGAAAGTAGAGGTACTAAAAAAGGATTAAGAACCTGTTCTTGTGGGTGGCCCAATGGGCAGCTCCCTGGCACAGTGCATATAGCACCAGGCCTGAAGTCAGGAAAACCCATCTGTGTTAGTTTCAATCGAGCCTCAGACACTTACAAGCTGCATGACCCTGGGCAAGTCACTTTAGCCTGTTTGCCTCTGTTTCCTCATCTGTAAAATGAGCTGGAGAAGGAAATGGCAAACCACTCTAGTATCTTTGCCAAGAAAACCCCAAATGGGGTCATGAAGAGTCAGAAAGGACTGAAAAACTCAACAACGATAACAACAAAAACTTGTGGGTGATCCTACCTCAGGTTTAGCATCACTACAGTCCTTAAGTTCCTTCTGGTTCCAGTTCAGCCACATTTGGTGGAGTTTATCTTGGCCATCAAGCAATTTCTGAACACCACCCTGCTTTACATTTTCAATCTGGAAAAGGGAGAGAGAGAGAGAGAGAGAAGAGGGTGAGAGAATAGAAAGAAAGAAAATTCCCAAGTACAAAACCACTGGGCAACCAGCAGAGAGAAGACAGAATACCTCCTATGTCTGAATAGCCTGAAGACCCTTAGAAAAACACAGCATGATTTCTAAGAAAGTTCCTGGGGAAAATATAAAGAACAGCAACTTCCTAAAGTGAGCAGAACTAGGAGTACATTGTACACAGCAACAGCAACATTGTGTGACGAACAACTACAACAGACTTCTCTTCTCAGCAATGCAGCATTCTAAGACGTTTCCAAGACTCATGATGGAAAATGCTATCCAAAGCCAGAGAAAGAACTACACAGTCTGAATGCAGATTGAAACATACCAATTTCACTTTTTTTCCTTGTTTTTTTCTTTTTGTTCTGTTTTTTCTTTCCCAACATGACTAATGTGGAAATATATTTAACATAACTGTACATGTATAACCTACATCAGACTGCTTGCTGTCTTGGGGAGGGAGAAAAATTTGGACTTCAAAATCTTATAAAAGTGAATGTTGAAAACTATATATGTAATTAGAAAAAAATAAAATACTATTATCTATGGGGGAAAAAAGAATAGCAACTCCTTCACATGCAGGAATCATCAATTCTGGGAGACAAGCCCTAGAGTGATTCTGAGCTACAAAATTATACTATGGACAAGAAGTTCCTTGAGGGCAAGAACTGTTTTTTGCCTCTCTTTGTATTCCCAGTGCTTAGTACGGTGCTTGGTACACAGTAGGCACTTAACAATTTTTTTTTATTAATTAATTGACTGAATAGCCTTCCACATGTGGAAGGGTTAATCTTCCATGATTTGGCTAAAATGATTAATGAAGATGACCTACAGACTTAAATCCATCCTAATACCTATGGTCCACAGGCCCTAGGCTGGGCAGTGAAACCTTACCAAGCTGATGGCCTGAGAAAGCTGTAGGAGGGCCTCTTGGGTAGTCTGCTTGGTCTGCCTCAGTTTACCCAAGGAGTGCTGATAGGCCCGCTGGTGGAGCTTGGAGGACAGGGAGCCCAGGCGAACAAAGTAACCCTGTTGCTCCTTCTGCTGCTGGACAGAGGCCATGTCAAATCCTTCTAGGGAGGTAGCAATCTTAGCTGCAGGGAAGAAGAAAGAAGTTCCACATGAATCAATCAACATGTCTTAAGAACCACTATGAGCTAGGCACTGACAGTCCCTGCTCTCAAGAAGCTCACAATCTAATGAAACAGACCCTCTAACGGGGGAGGCAAAGGATAGCCTCCTCATCTCATGGGGTGAGACCAGATTGCATCACCATTAAGGTGGCTGGAAGGGGAAGGAGAGGTTTTTACACAGTCATCTGAGGCAACTTTAAAAGGTCAACTCAAGCCACCAAGTGCCAGCCCAGTGCTGGGGATACAGAGACACAATCCCTCAGGAGATTCCCTTCTACATGGGGCCATCAGTGTCCCAGACGAGTAAACACAAAGTAGGAATTAAAAGTACCAAAAGTAATTTCAGGATGTGGGAACCCTTATAGTGAGGGATGGTGCGATGATATAACAAAGAAAGTTCTCATGTGCACAGGACATAGTACCTGAAACTATACTTGGAAGTCAGAGAGGGATTCCAAAAAACAGAAAGTAGAAGGGTTGGGGGGGGATGGGGATGGGAGAGACTTTCTCCCCTAGAGCCATTGTTTCAAGCTTCCTGACTTAAGGAGCAGGGCTCACTGCTGATCTACATTCAGAAGCACCAGTGTCTGGTCAGGTCAGAGATTACAGAGAATGTTCCCTGCAGAGACGATAATAAAAGTTAGATAAGCCAATCCTGAGCATGGCTATCAACAGATGGGAAGGTCCAGCTTCTAGCTCCCTCCATCCCTTCCAGAGTTGGGGATGAAGGGTGGGATGGGGGGGGGGCCTATGGTTGTGGAATGTTACATATATGCTGTCATTAAACATATTTCCATTTTTGCTGAACTGCCTTTTCTTTTTTTAGACGTTTTAAATCTTCATAGGAGAGGGTTACATTTGGAAATGAATGACATAAAAAAGGGGGCATCAATAAAAATCAAAATGTAAGCCAACCCTGACTTCTAGGACCAGTTTGCCTAAATAGACATACAATCTCGTATTGGGCACTCCTTAGGTTTCAGTTTCCTTATCTATAAAATAGGGAAGGAAGAAGTTTCTTCTATCAGAATGTATTCCATCTAGTGCCTCCTGGTGTGGAGAGGACCCTGGATCAAGGCAACAGTGTAGGCTTTGGCCAGTATACTACACTGGAAAGGCCCCTCCAGATGCAGAGGGATTTATTAGCAGGAGGAGGAGCCTACCAGGGGATAAGCTTTTGGCTGCAGTAACTCAAAAGCAATCTTGTTAAGCATAGGGAAGAGGTGATCTGTGATGGAAGCAAAACTTCCTTAGGGAAAGTCATATATTCCAGTATCAGCAAGGGAGGGTAGAGTTAAAAGATGGTCACTATGTGGTCAAACAACATAATGTAAGGAGCTTGCCAAAGCCACTGTCAGAGGAACCAAGTCAAAGTGGCCACAGGGAAATCTCAATGAATCATTGTTACAATCCCAGGATTCATTAATAGATGAAAAGAGGAGAGGCAATTTGGAAAAGTCAGCAGTGTCAAGAAAGCCTGAGTTCAAAACGTCTGTTTTAAAGAATTTGCTTGGTACTATTTCTGTAGCTGAAATATAATAAAGATTGCCTGCCTTACCTGTAAAAAAAGAGAGGGAGACATGATAGCCAAAGTTCCTCCCAGGGGCTTTAAGAGCTAAAAAGTGTCTGCTTCACAGCAAGCCACCTAAAGCAAGCTAAGGAAGACAGAAGATCCTTACCTAGCTCTTCATCTGTCATGGGCAGATAGTTGTCAACCCATTCTTCAGATTTTCCTAACACAGTATCCATGCCACTGAGGACCATTTGTCCTACTTTGGATCCCATAACTGTGTTGACACTGCTGGTCACCATCGATTTGGTCATATCTACCCCACTCTGGACGGCTCCTCGGGTCATATCCACAGCCTCGGTCACTCTGCTGGTCATAGCATCCTTGGCACCCAAAACCGTATTGGAGACTGCATCCTTGGCACCAGTCACTTTGGAAGACACGAGTTCCTTAGTATCAGCTATAACCTGGGAGGCAGAGCATGAAGTTTAATATTCCCGACTCAGAGTACCTCTACCACCCAGGCCCAAGTAAAGACAACTAGGCTGCTATAGCTCCTGCTTCCTCAGCATCTACAGCTACTAAAGACCCCAAAGAGAGACTTCTTGCCACCAAAGTCCATGGTATTATCAAAAGGTTCATCATCAGAAATGGATATGGTTTTATTAATAGAAAGGACATTAGATCCATTACCATAATCTCTTGATGCTATACCCTTAAGGACTATGGGGTCCTTCCACTAGAAATCTATGTCATCTTATTTTTCTATTAGAATGGAAGCTCTCGGGGCAGCTAGGTGGCACAGTGGATAGAGCACTGGGACTGGAGTCAGGAGGACCTGAGTTCAAATCTGGCCTCAGACACATCAGATACTTCCTAGCTGTGTGACTGCAGGCAAGTCACTTAACCCCAATTGCCTCACTAAAAAAAAAAAAGTAAGCTCTCTGAGAGCAGGTACAACGTGGCTTTTTCATTTGCATCCTCAGTGGAGCTCTGCCTAGAGTAAGGAAAGGCTTACTAAATGTTTTCTCATTCATTCAGGTCAAATGTTTCTCTGCTAGCTCCATGTGCAAGATAGCCACTGGTGAGAAATCATTGCTTAGACAACCTCATTCCAATGGTTTTCAGCTCTAGTAGGTTACGTTTTAATCTTGTTTACTTTTATAGGTAAACAGCTACTAAGGCAGAATCCTGTAACCAGGAGGTTAGAGCACCATTGACATGCTGCAAGACTAGGTAGGGCCCTGTTCCATTTAGTGTAACTTGAAAGGAAGCCAACAGACAGTGATTCAGTACTAACTATATGCAAGGCATTGTCTTAACTGCTTTATTATCTCATTTCGTCCTCACACCATCAATCTCATTTTACAGTTAAGGAAACTGAGGCAGACAGTGGTTAAATGACTTGCCCAGACTCACACAGGCAGTATGTGTCTGAGGTCATATCTGAACTCAGATCTTCCCGATTTGGGGCCCAGCATTCTTATATAAATATTCATATAAAATGAAGCATAATGATTTACCATGTATAATTGATATACTACTTACCTTCTCAGTGGGTAGGGGAGGGGTAAGGAGGGAGGGAATTTAGAACTAAAATTTAAAAAGAAAAGAATGCCAAAAATAAATAAATAATAATTTTCAAAAAACTGTTAAAAATAAAATGAAGCATAAAACATATGGCAACATACAAAAGGTTATCACATAAAGAGATCTGCAGAATGATGACTGGTATATACACTGCTTCCAACTTGAAATAAATATTTGTGCCATTGCTGCGCCACCTAGTGGTTGCTTTAAATGTTACACAGTTCTCATGGCCCAGTGTGTTTTCACTTGATGCACACCACCCCAAGCATAGCCGGGTCTTGTAGCATAGAAGAAGCTTCTGTCCAAAGTCAAAAAAACAGAAAATTCCAACTGGGAGTTAGGAGCGCCAGGGCTGAATTCCAGGCCTCAACATTAGTTGACTTAAAATCTGTCCCCAGTAAGCACTGATATGCCAGTTGCTTACACAGGAGCACAGAGACAAAGACACAATTTAATACTGTTGGTCCTTGGGAAGGCTACATTTTACTCTGAGGACAGGGAGAGGAGGGAAAAGGAAGCATTTGTAGCCAGAAACAAAGGATGTGTGGGAGAATTAAAGGTAAAAAGATGAGTCAATCGTGATTCCAAATGACTGATAAAGAGTACTGCTCACCTCATGACAGAGATGGCAGACCTAGATAAGGAGTAAGGAGTGTAGTTTCTGGATGTGGCCAACATGAGAACTTGCTTTCCTTGACTGCGTATCTATGAAACAAGGGTTCTGCCTTTCCTTAATAAAAAAAAAAAAAAAAAGAAAATTAAGTTAAATTTAAACTTAAGCATTTAATTTTTTTTAATTAAAAAAAATTTTTTTTATGTTTGTTGAATTGGAGGGAAAAAAAGGAAGTAGGAATCCAAAACAGGTGGGCACATCGGATGGTATTACAGGCAAAGGGGGATGGTCAGTATAAAGGCACAGAAGTAATATTGTACCCTTCAGGGTTGGAGCAAGGAGGCCTAGCAGTTGGCTTGAGTTTAAGAGCTCAAGGGGTAGAGAATGTAGGGCTAAGAAGTTAGAAGAATTTGCATAATATTGTTAGATCAATGCCTTAGAAATATCTGGCAGATGGGTGGAGAACAGATGGGAAAGGAGAGAGAACTGCAATGATCCAGGTGAAAGGTGCAGAGGACTTGAATTGGGGTGAATGGTGTCATGCTATTTAAATCTGTTTTATCTGGCACATAGTATTAAGTCCTTAATAAATGATCTTTCATAATAAATGATCTTTCATCCATCCATTGTCAAATGGGGAGAAACTTAATCTTTCCTTCCAAAGTTGGAGGAAGCCTTCAAGTACTATCCAAGTTCTGGGTTTAAGGCAGAGTTTGAGTTAGAACCTAGCTGTCCCAGCTTCTAGCCCCATGGGTCCAGGGAAGATGGAAAGCAGGGAAACTTATCTACCTTCTCACTTGGTTGCTGAAGAATTGGCAATTTCTCCTCCAGTTTGTCCAGTCCTTTATGAGCATACTCGCTGGCTGATGCAACTGGCAGAGAGTGAGGAAGAAAAAGGTGAGGCCCAGCATTACCAACAAGTCTGAAACTGACGCTAAAAGCGTCCAGTAAAGGCCCCCTTGGATTCTTCCTGGCATGGAGGTGACCTTGGATTCTCAGAAGGTAGGCCCTGCCAGCATTCATCTTCTGAAGGCATTCTAAGCACCAGTTGTCCCAGCCAGCTAAGTTCTGAGAATTACCAGTTTAACCTTGGGCTATTGTGTTTTTTCTCCCCTTTTTGCAGAAACTTTGAAGGCTGAATAGGACACCACCCACCTTGACATGATGAAATCAGATCCCTTAAATAATAAGACCTCACAGGACTTGCTGTAATGTTCTAGTTAACGACATCCTGACATGGTCTAATACCCAAACTGTTAGATTACAACAGAATTAAGTGTGGATTCCTATTTCCCAAGAGGAAGTTGCAATGTTTCTTTCTAATGAGCTTGTCCTCAGGGCTATTACTCACTCTGAGGCTCCAGTTTAGATAGGATCGGCTGGGCCCCACTGACAGCTGCTGCAGCAAGAGTCTTTGCCCCTTGTTCAGCAAGGCCACACACAGACTTGACGTAAGGATGGTTTTCCTTAGTGGACTCATAAGCTGCAGAGACCATGTCGCAGGTGGAACTGACAAGCGGCATACTGACCACCCTGTTGACTACACTCTGACATAGAAAAGAGAAAGGTCAAACTGGCTGTAAATCAAAGCACCATAGTACAGGAGGGAGAGAGAGGGAGAGAGAAAGGAAGGGAGAGAGGGGGAGAAAGAGAGAGGAGAGAAAGGGAGAGAGTGAGAGAGGGGACGAGGAAGAGGGAAGGGGAAAGGGAACTGGAAAGAGAAAGGAGAGAGAAAAAGAGGGAGAGAGAGAGAGAGAGAGAGAAAGAGAGCATAATAGACTTTACTGTAAACTAGGTTCAAAGCTTACCTCAACCACTTACTAGCTGTGTTAACTAGGGGCGGGTCCTTCCTCCCAGTCACCCAGGCCTTTTGCTCTAACTTTCTGACAGTTAGGAAGAGCTTTGCAATGGTTGAAGTTTCCTTTAGAGATCTGGCACTCCCTTCTAGACTTGCCTCACTCAAAAAAAGGTCAACTGTATAAGGGATCTTGGTCAAAGCCCCTCATTTTACAGAAGAAGGAATGGAGGCAAGAGAAGGGAAGGAAACTGTCTGAAGTTAAAGTCAGCATCTAAGCCAAGGCCAGTGATCTTTTTTCCCATACTAGGTTTCTTTCTACTCCCAAATTTCTCCCAATTAACTCCATTTAGTCTTCATTTACACTGTCTTCTTAGTACTTGTGTTTAGACTAGGGAGGAATTACTATAAAATTAAGGCCACTGAATGCATTTTTCTGCCAAGACAAAGTTCACCAAAAGCAAGGATCATCCTATTTCTCTAACCTACCCTTCGCCAGTCTCCTTATACTTGATTTGGGAAAGGAAGGGGCAAAGCATTTATTAAGCATCTACTAGGCAGCTAAGTGGCTCAGTGATAAATCACTAGGCCTAGAGCCAGGAACACCTGAGTTCAAATCTGGCCTCAGACATTTACTAAGCTATGTGACCCTGGAAAAGTCACTTAACCCTGTTTGCCTCAATTTCCTCCTCCGTAAAATGAGCTGGAGAAGGAAAATGGCAAGCTACTCCAGTATCTCTGCCAAGTAAACCCCATGGACAGTATTGGGGTGCTGTGGGCCACAGTCACAAAGAATCAGACATGGCTGAACAACAAATGCGCTAGGCACTGTACATTTGTAAAGTATAAAGAACTTTACAAATATTATCTCCTTTGATCCTCACAATAATCCTGGGAGGTAGATGCTATTATTATCCCCATTTTGTAGTTGAGAAAAGTGAGGCAGACAGAGGTTAAGTAACTTGCCCTGGGATTCCAGCTGGGACTCCTTCCACCCTCTGGCCTGTGTGCCCAGGTCACACAGCCAGCAAGTATCTGAAGCTAGACTTGAACTCACGTCTTCCACACTCCAGTCTTAGTTCGCTATATCCACTGTGCTTTCTAGCTAGATTGGCCCAGCTGCTGCCCCTCACCTAGGATACTCCATCTCCCATCACCTCCCACTGCCTCTACACTGGCTGTCACCCCTACCTAGAATGCTTTCCCCTTCCTCATCTCTGCTTCTTAGCTTCCTTTAGAATTCCATCCAAATCTTACCTTCTCCTGGGATAACCCTCCATCTTGCATGCACCTAGTTATTTACATGTTGTATCCCCCATCAGAATATAAGCTTTTTGAGGGTTAAGGTTTTTTTTTCCCTTTGCCTTCCTTTGTATCCCCCCACACACTTAGCACATAATAAATAAGTGCTTGACGATAACATCTGATATTGGCAGGTTATTCTGTGGCTCTAGGATACCCTGTGACCTCTGAGAACAGCTTCCGTTTCTTAGTTTCAAGCCATCCCTTGTTGCATGTGTAATAGGATTATTTCTCCTCCTCAGGGAAACTCAAAGCAGCTCCATCACACTTTAGGGAATAAGCTTCCTAATATTTCCATTCCCATTTAAGGCAGACTGGAGACCAGGGAAGGCTAACCTGCTAAGCAGAATCAATCATCTACATGGTTATGGTACCTTGAGGTTTTTGAAGCTCTCTCTCCCACAACCCTGTGAGGTAAGGTGTATGGGTATCATACCCATTTTACAGACAGAATGAAGAGGGGAAAGAGGTTGAAAAAGGAGTGACTAAGGTCCTGGAAAGTATAAATAGCCTGGCTGGACTTTGTACTTGGGTCTCCCGACACAGAATCAGGAGCCCCTATTCCATCCCAGCTACCCAAACCATAGTTCCTTTTACTCCTTGATTCTGGTTCCAGGTACCCAGTGAAACACAGCTGGAAATGGAAGCAGACTCCCCTCCCTCCTGCCCTCCATGCTTCCTGTCCAGAAATGTTACCATCTCGGGTCAACGCCACTTTGTACCTGGTTCTCGGGAGGGTCATACCTGCTGCACTGGCTCCCCAGCAGCTGGGCTGCTGGCTCCGCTCTCAATGTCACTGGAAGACATCTTCAGAGTAGAAGGCACTGGAAGCCAAAGACAAACAGTTGCTGCCCTATGGATCTATCAGCTGGCTAAAGTCCAGCACCACGTAGAAGCTGGGCAGAGGTCAGCCCAGCTGGGACTCCTTCTACCCTCTCCCCCTGTTTCTTAAAAGCACCTGGAAACTGGTAGATGTCATCCAAGTGCACCTGACTTCATCAGGTGAGGCCCTGGCTTAAGAACTAGGGCACAGCTATGGCTCTCACACACTCCAAAGACTGACTTAAGCAAGACTTCCAGAAGCATGAGCATGATGATATAACCCAATAAAGTGGCTTCCTTCTAGGTGGGTGGACACAGCTTAACTAGCTAGCTCTCCAAACAGAGCCACCCCAAAAAGGAGCCAGTGGGAACAACTCCCACTTCCAAAGCACAAGTAACCAATACATTCCCATTGGATTTTTACCATCTATCCCATAAGGTAGATGACACAAGCAGTGGCCTCTACTTTATCAAGAAATAGAGGCGTATTGTCCAGAGTCACATGGCCAATAATTAGCTGAGGCAGGATTTGAACTATGGTCCTAAGGCCTGCTCTCAGAGGGGACTTGATGTTGAGTCTGCTCAGATGAAGATGACGTTGTTCCTCTGGCTCCTCATCCCGCCCCAGGGTAAAGGCCTGGTTTCTCCAGGTAGGAAGGATGGCATCTTTCTTTAGCCTAAAGGCACAGGTTCAGATCAATTAAAAAGAAACTCACCCCCACCCCCACTTCTGTCTCTTTGCTGGGTACCAATCCACGGTAGGCTACTTGGGTGCCATATTACCATAACAGGTAATTTAAAGGTGTTTCTTGTATCTGAACGTTCCCTTTGAACATGGAAGGCACAGCCTGACTCTTCCCTCAAGGGCTCCTGCCCAGATAAGAATGAATTAAGGACAGGAATCCTATCTGAGAAGGGCTCTAATTTGGCTCCTGCCTCAGATCCCATTGTTTCAAAGATGGCACTTCTATGGGGGTGGTAGGACCCCCCACACACACACACACAGAGGAAAGGGGAATGAGGAGTGGAGAAGGGAACTGTATGTTCAATGAGGTACTACCTTCTATCTGTAGTACCAACTAGGGCTGGCTTGATCAACTAATACCTGCACAACTGGTACTACGTGGAGCTGCAGAAAGGTCAGCTGTATGAAGGAGGTCTGGCAAAGTGTAATGCATTTGCCAAGTGCCCCTTGGTTGGCTGGTTATACCAAGAGCTGGGCATGATCTCAGGGGAGACTGTGAGGTGGAGGAAGAGAAGGTTAAGACCCAGGCTTGGGAAGGGTGCATGTGCCATGTCCACATCAGAGGAGATCACAGATTCAGTGAACTACTGAGGTAATGCCCAAGTCATGGCCCATATCCAACCTTCATCTGTGCGTACGCCTATAAACCCTCTATGATTTGCCAATAATAACAATAACAGTGCCCAAAATTTGGAGTCAGAGGATCTGGGTTCAAATCTTGTCTAGTGCTTATTACCTGAGTGACCTTGTGGGCCTTAGTTTCCTCATCTGTAAACTAAAGGGATTTCTTCCAGTACTCCTATGGTAGGAACGAAGGGACCCTTTGTCAATTTTTATTCTCTCTGACTCATCTCTCCACTTTCCTGATTCAGAAGCCAGATCAGCATTCTTTGGGTCACTACCCCATTCCCCAGGCTCAACTACATCCTGTTGCAGGTCAATCCACCCAGAAAGGAATTCAATTCAAGCAATTATTAAGAGGATGGAGAAACTTGAAGTGATAGATCAACCACGGGCTAAATAAACCTTATATTTTTTGACTAGTTACCTACATAGTAACTTGGGTCTGTGGGCAGAATGATTCAAATTATAGCCTCTGTATGTGTGTTAAGGGGTGGGGGGAAAGAGGAAGAGGAAAAAGGTGGTGGTTCCACCAGCTGGTCCTGAGCTCTAAGATTTATGGGTATCAGCCCCACCTCCCCCATCCCTATTGGAAGTAAAGGGGGGGGGGGAACCTGCCCTTCCCCAATAGGCTGTGAATAAGACTAGTGACCCTTCCCTGTTAAAGGGGAGCTGTTACAACTAATTTTGACAGGCTACAAATATGTCTGGATTTGGGAAGAGGAGAGGAGACTTTTATTTGGACTCATAGTTAGTTGAAGAGAAACTCTAGAATGCTTTTGGTTGGAAACACTGTTTTGACCACTGAGGTCAGTGGTTCTCTAACCAAGATCTCAGTTATAAAAGGAAACAGAGAGGCCTGTATGGCTTAGGACAGTCTTCAACAAAGGTCCTTCACTCAAGCAAATGAAGGCTTCTAGAACCAATACTAAGGACAGCTAGGTGGCTCAGTGGATAGAGTGCCAGGCCTGGAGTCATATCTTCCTGAGTTCAAATTTAGCCTCAGACACTCACTAGCTGTGTGACCGTGGGCAAGTCATTTAAACCTGTTTGCCTCAGTTTCCTCATCTGTAAAATGAGCTGGAGAAGGAAATGGCAAACTGCCCCAGCACCTTTACTAAGAAAACCCCAAAAGGGGTCAGACACGGCTGAACAACAACAACAACAGAACCTATACTGGACCCTTGACTTAAGGCTAAAACAGTCTCTGGAGGTGCCTTAAAAAGCCTTTAGAAGACCAGAAATTGTCTAATTCATCTCTTTTGTTTTGCAGATGAAAAAGAGAAGGCCAAGACAGTGTGACTTGCCCAAGGGGCAGACCACACAACTGATATGTAGGCTGGGACTTGAATCCAGGTGGCTGAACTCCAAATCCCATTCTTTCTACTACAGCAAGGTGACTCCAGACTTGTGAAGGTCATCTAGCCCCAGCCCCTTCTTATTGGAGAAGCCCTCCATAAAACCTTAGTGAGGCCCTAAAATATTCGGCCTCAAGGGGGCCTGGTGCCTCGCTAATACTCCATCCTGTATCTTCTGGGATGGCTCACACCGGTTGGGACTTAACTCTGCTTAATTCCACCCTTCAGCAGTTGAATAGGAATGAAACCACCACCCTAGAAGCACCCGATAATGGATGAAGAGTGGGGGAAATAAGAGGGGTCATCAAGACCCTCCATACCCTCCTTCAAGCCCCAGGTGAAGGCTTGCCCTCCAATACTGGACTTAGGAAAGGCAGTGAGACAGCTTAGAAAGAATGCAGGCCACCACTGAGGTGGAGAAGTCATGGCCCCTTGGTCCTTCTTGCCCTCCTTTCTCATAAGGAGCCAGGGGAAATCAACAGGCAGGCTCAAGGGGAAAATGTCTATTTCCTTGGTAGGGCCCTCACCTCAAAGTTGGCACTGAAGGCCATAAACAATAGGAGAGATGATAAATTGCCCAGGGGGCTGGTTTCATAGCATTCTCAACAATGTACTATGCATCTCGCCCACTTTTACCCAGGAAACTGGGATGGAGAAACGGCCTCCCAGCCACACGCTCAACAGAGGGGGGGAGGGGACAGGTGCAGGAGCACCTAGGAAAGGCAAAACAGGGATGGGGGTGGCGATAGTAGGTTGGCCTGTGGCTCACGCGTGCTTTTTGCACTAGGCAAAAAATAGGCAAGCAGGGCATCCACAAAGAAAGCCACGTCCTACATCAACGACCGACCTTTCACCCAAATACACAGACACCCAAAAAATAAGCCACGCCTGGCATGGAAGGCAAACTAGACCCCTCCTCCACCTTCTGGGACTCACAGTCCACATTTCGCTTACCCCAGGGAAACGTTGGTTCGACGTCGATCGCTAACTACTACTCACCCCGAGAAATAGCAAAGAGATAGAGAGGGAATTCTGCAAAATCAACTCGGAACAATCGGAACTCCAACTTGTACAGATCACGAGCGGAGGGACTTTTAAAGTAGTCCTGGAGGAGACGCCTGATAGACAGGCCCCATGAGCGAATCTGGAATCAGGGCCTTCCCCACGCCAACCAATGGGGAGTTCGGGGCTGGCTACAATGTTGCAACTTGTGGGAGTAGTGGCAGCTCTGTCCCGAGGATCGGGGACTGACTGGCCCTGGGTGGGTGGGGCGGGGCGGGGCGGGGCAGGTTAGGTTGAGGATGGGGGAGCATTATTTCGGAGCACCAGAGCATGCTTTCAGTGATCCCTTAGTAGGTTTTGTCTGGCCGGCAGCCTGGTCTGACTTGGGGAGGGGAGCATATTGCCTCCCCTGCCCCGTGCCTCGGCTTCCCTTCTGTGGCCCGCCAGAGAGTGCCAGTACTAGCTTCTCCAACCGACAGAAGGCCGTAGGCGGCCTTCAGGCTTAGCTACCAAACGTTGCTCGTACGTTGCCCGTACGTTTTCAATCGCAGCCCGGGCCAGTGCTTCCGCGGCTACTTCGCCCCTGTCCTCCATATGGCCTTCTGGTCAGCTGGCATGTTTGGGGAAAGGTGAATGACCGAGTGTGGAGCGATGTAATATTGTATATTCATTCATCTCTGTTGGCGGCTTATTCCACTACTAGACTGTAAGCAGGGGCTAGATCTTAGTTAAACTGCATCACTACCCTCTCTCCTCCATCTGCCTCCCCAGACAACGTGGTACATAAGGTTCTGCCCACAATAGGTGTTCAATAAATGTTAATGATGAGGTTGCCCTAGTGGAGGGAGAGAAAGAAGCAGTCCGAGTTGCTTTGCAACTTACTCCCTAAGCAATAATAACAACCAGCATTTACATTTAAGACTTGCATAGTATCCCTAGGTGCTCCGGGGATACAAAAAAAAAAAGAAGAAAAAGAAAAAAGAAAAAAAACAAGAAAAAACAGTCCCTCTTCTCGAGGAGTTTACATGTATAAGTATACCCAGAATAAATACAAATAATGCAGTTGAAGGCAAGGAAGATGTTGCCTGAGTTGCATCTTAAAGGGAGTGAGCAATTATACGAGGTATAGATGAAGAGAAAGGACAGGTAGGAGAAACTAGATTTGAACTCATGGAGTTGAATGTTCCCGTTTCTAAACACGGTGCGCTAACCACTTCACCACTTGGCTGGCCTAGAGTTAGGAAGACCTGAATTAAATCTAGCCCCAGACATTTACTAGTTGTGTGACTCCGAGCAAGTCATTTAACTCAGTTTGACTCAGTTTCCTCACCTGTACAATGAGCTGGAGAAGGAAATAGCAAACTACTGCAGTATCTTTGCCAAGAAAACCCCAAATGGGGTCAAGAAGAGTCAGACTTGACTGAAGAGGACTGAACAACAACAAAAATGGATGAGGAGGAAGTGAATTTCAGGTATGAAGGATGACTTCTTACCCCTCTTGAAGAAGTGAAGTTGTAAGGGTGTTGCTAATTTGAATTAGTGAAAGGAGTTTCCGCAATAGGAGTTTTCCAGTGTCCCTCCTTCCCTGCCCCTCCTCACTTCTATTGTTAGAAGGAATATTCGTATCAATGAAGTTACATATCAATCGATTTATTAAGTGCTTTCTATGTTCCTTACTATACCAACCTAGGGATCCAAAGAAGGGCCAAAACACCCTATCCTCAAGAAACTTAGGCAGAAATGAGGGAGACAACATGTAAAGAAATAGTTAATTAAAGTTACATCCATGGAAGATAACCAAGAGTTACACATCCTAAAGGAGTGTATAGAAATTACATACAGTGAATGGATAGAGCTCTGGATTTATAGTCAGGAAGACCTGAGTTTGAATCCTATCACAGACCCTTTCTAACTGCGCAACTCTGGGCAAGTCACTTAACCTTTGTCAGCCTCGGTTTCCTCCTCTGTCAAATGGGGATAATAATAGCATCTCACTGGGTTGGTATGAGAATTAAAGGAGGTAGTATATGTAAAGTACTATTTTATTAATTAATTATTTTTAAAATTAATTTAAAATTACTTAAAATATTTTTTTTGTTTTCAAACATTCGCTTTTATAGGATTTTGAGTTCTAAATTTTTCCCCCTCTCTCCCCTCCCCCACCCCCCAAGATAGCATGCAATCTGATATAGGCAATATATGTATAATTATGTGTAAAGTACTTTTCAGACCTTAAAGTGCTGAGTAAACATTAGCTTTGATCAGTATTGTCTGATAGTCAGAGAGGGCAGTCCAAGCAAGGCTAAAGTTATTCTCAAATCCCTGTCTCCTGGTTAGAGGAAGGGAATTTCTTTAGTGGCAGGATTTTAGAATCTAGCCTTCTAGATGACAAAAGAAATCTCTTGACAGCACAAGCCTTGAAGGTTGCTTTGAGAATAACTCCATTTTTGAGAGTTTGGAAGCAGTCTCAGATCTTTTACTCTTGGGCTCGAAGAAGTGCAGATGGTGACTGTAGCCATGAAATTAAAAGACGCTTGCTCCTTGTAAGGAAAGCTAGGGCAAATCTGGATAGCATACTAAAAAGCAGAGATATAACTTTGCCAACAAATGTCCGTATTTTCCAGTAGCAATACATGAGAGAATTGGACTATAAGGAAAGCTGAGTGCTACACAATCGATGTTTTCAAACTGTGGTGCTGGAGAGGACTTTTGAGAGTCCCTTGGACAGCAAGGAGATCAAATCAGTCAATACATAAAGAAATTAATTCAGGTTATTCACTGGAAGGTCAAATACTGAAGCTGGAGCTTAAATACTTTGGCCACATAATGAGAAGACAGGACACTGTGGAAAGACCCTGATGTTGGGAAAGATTAAAGGCAAAAGGAATAGGGAGCAGCCAAGGGTAAGATGGATAGAAAGTGTCATGGAAACAAACGAACATGAACTTGGACAGACTTCAGAAGACAGTGGAGGATGGAAGGGCCTGGTGTGCTCTTTATGGTCCATGAGCTCTAGAAGACACAGACAGAACTGAACAACTCAACAGAAACATGTGTAAGACTATATTTAAAGAGGCAGTAGAGAAGAGTGCAATGGTATTAAACTCAAATAGGAACCCATTCCTGCAGTTGCAAATTGACTTAGAAAACCACGAATTAACATTATCTATGTGATCTTGTATTTTTATTTATTTTGTTAAACATTTCCCAATTATGTTTTAATCTGGCTATTGTTCACTGGGGAGTTTTGTGGGGGTCATGGGGAAATGGAGGGGCGGGGTTTGACCTCTCTGGTATAGTGGATAAAACATTGGGCTTGTCTGGTGAACATACGATTGAATTCCATCTTCAACACTTTCTAAACTATGTGGTCATACTTAATTGCCCAGAATCTTACTTTCCTAATCTGTAAAATGGGAATAATGATGCTTATATAGTGTTAACCACAAAGGTTTGTAAGGATTAAATGAGATAATGTAAAATGCTTTGTAAATCATAAAGTATTATGTGTCAGCAATAATTATAATTAAGACTTGATATTAAGATACGAAAAATGGAATAAAATACAGTTCCTCTCCTAAGGGAGCTTAGCATCCAACAGGTAGGGGTGAAGATGAGGAATAGATACAAATGATTATAATACAACTTAGGAGAAGTCAAAGTAGATTAAAAGTTTTAGAAAGTAAGACAACCCCAAAGGACTTATGATGAAAAATACTACCTGCCTCCAGAGAAAGAGCTGATGTCTTCTGAATACAGACCAAAGCATACTCTTTGTTTCTTTGTTTCTTCCTTCCTTCATTCCTTCCTTCTTTCCTTCCTTTGAGTTTTCTTGCACAAAATGACTAATATGGAAATGTTTTATATAATTGCACGTGTATAATCTATATCAGACTGTTGCAGTTTCATGGTGTATTGTGGGGGATCCTCTCAAAGAATTCAGACTCGGACCACCTCTAATACAAGTAAAGGCATTTATTGAGAGTGATGCTCTCCAGTGGGCTGAGTTCCAAGAGGAACCAGCAATTTTAGTAAGACAAGACAGGCAATTTTATAGTGTCGTGATGCTGATTACACCAACAGAAATTATGAATATTAAAAAGGCAGGAGGGATATGTCAAGGGATTGGGTAATAGGGAGGGATCCTGGCTTTGGTGGAACTGTGCATGTGATTACCCATAATGCATACAGAAAAGCCCAAAGGGAGGGGCGTGTATGTATGATAATAATATTATAATAAGCATCTCTATGTCATAAGTTCACCTAAAGGGACAGCTTTTGCTACTACTGTGCAGATGCCTACTTAGGGAAAGTCCCTTCTGTTGTTTTGGGGTCCACATCCTGCTCGGGCATCCTAGTGGTGCTGCTTTCTGATTGGCTGGCTATTGTGGTCCTGTCTGAGATTAGATTGATATGGTGTGGTTGAGTGCATAGACACACCTGATGTTTCTATGGGAAATATGAGGAATGGGTCTGGGGGCAGTGACTAGCATTCCATCCCATGGACACACCTGCTTTCTACTGGGGCATGACTTCATGGACACGCCTGCTGTTCTAGTGAGGCAATGAGGCATATATGAGGAAGTTAGGATATTGGTGGCCGTGGCTAAGTAGGAGAAGTGGCTGTATTGAGTCTGGGGGTGGTGACTAGCTAGGGGCAGCGGGCCTGCTGTTCAGTGGGGCCTATGATTGAGTCTGAGCGCCCATGGTGTGGTTAAAGCCAGATCGTGTGGTTAAATCTGGACATGCCTAATGTTCAGTGAGGCCCATAAAGAAGTTAGAATATTGGGGCTGGGGGCAGCTTTATTAAGATTCCATCAGGGCAGCTAGCGGCACAATGGATAGAGCACTGGCCCTGGATTCAGGAGGACCTGAGTTCAAATCCAGCCTCAGACACGTAACACTTACTAGCTGTGTGACCCTGGGCAAGTCACTTAACCCCATTGCCTAGCAAAAAAACAAAAAAACAAACAAAAAAAAGATTCCATCAGTAGGAAGTGGGGAACTCCTAAAACATTCTTAAGCTGGGATCAAAGCTAC